CAGTTGAGTAACCCAGAAGATCCTGTGACCTTTAAACTGGGTGAAGCTTTGATGTTAAATTCTCCAAGCAACCTTCTGGTCACAATAGTTCACCTCAAAACCTTTTTTAATTTACCTTTGGGATCAACAACATATTTTTGAATTGGAGTGTAAATCCTCCTTTATCTGAGAACTTTGAGAAGATTTTTTCTTAAAATGAGTGCATTTTTTCTTGAATTAAGGATTGAAGTGCGACACTTTGCCAATAGAACAAGACAATTCACACTCTAAACAAGAAAAAAACAATTGCATTATCTTATTTCAAGTGCATAATATCTAGATAGCATATTTTAAGAATAAAAATACTCATTCCATTGGCAAATCATCTTATTAACCTGCTCAAATTAAGGGTAAATACACTTAATTTAAGACATTTTTACTCATTTTGAGATCGTTTTTGCAGTGTACTTGTGGTTTTGGCCACATGAGTTGCTAAAACTCAGTGAATGATGTCACACTGATGTGCAAAGTTCCTTCCCATTCTAAAATATTTCCGACTTTGGAGTAATCCCATTCTATAGTCTGTTCTAATCCAAACCGTTCATGAGTGTAAACAAGTTGATATTAGAGTTCCGTTCACTGGAAGTTTTTTAAGGTGTATTTTTAGTAAACTTCTGCTTGCATCAGTGTACTTGGTAGATTTGAGATAAGTGTATTTTTGTAACCTTAAAAATAAAATAAATGAGCAGCATTATAAATAAATAAAAAAAAAGAGGTTGTACCTTAAAACTTTTTAGGCCAGCCATAGTTTGTGTTGCAGAGTCTAACTAACCACTGGGTTTCTTTTCTAACTGAATGGCTGAAAAAAAAATGCCTTGTCAAAGTTTTTTTTAAAAGAGATGTGAAGAAACTGACCATAAATCGTCAAGTTATTGCCACTAAATGTTGCAATAATTTCCAAGAAAGTAGAAATTACAAAAATTCTTATGACTATGAAAATACATCTTCAGCTCTACCGCAACAGCCTCATGTGAGCAGAGATTAGGTTGTGAGCAGGTTATATAGATAAGGTTGTTTACGTGTTTCTCTTCCTTAGTGGAATTTGTTATATAATGGGAGGACTTACAACTTCTGCTTGTAGGAAGATGCAAAATCAGCAAGAGAGCATGAGGTTTGCAGTTCCTCATTTTGCTCTTGACTTGCCTTTTTTGTTGTTGATTCTGTTCCTTTATTTGGTATTTGCGTCTCTCTCAGCTGAGTTCTCCATGTGACTAAAGTTCAAAGTATCTTGAGCTGTTTCACCACATCACTATGACCGCAGAGTGTTGGCGGCTTTCGTTGGAATTCAAACGCAACGTTTTCCTCTTTTTCAAATATCCCCTATGCTCCGTTTATTTTTGCCTCTTATATGTAACTGGATCTGGTCTGGTTCTTTTCAACAGCTTCCTTTTTAGATGGTAGAGCATTGCAGTGTTACGTCCTGTTTCTCTCCTGAGCTTTTACTGTGACTAACTGAATGTGCTCTACTTCATCCTGTTTGATATGAGCTTATCAGCTGCACTACAACATTACATTCATGGGGTGAAAAGCTCCTCTACACTAACCTAAAAGTTAGAAAGAAGCTATACTCTATGTTTAGGAGAAGACATTTTGCATGAACAGAATAAATAAATAAATAAAATTAGAATAAATTGTCATTTTAAGGTTAGATTAGGTTGTTATAATAAGAGATTTGACAGACTAAACACATCTGCAAATTAGTTAAACATGTTTATGTATAAGAAAAAAACTTGGTAGATGCTCTTTTTAAATCTTCTATAAGTCAAATCCTTATCATGTATGTAACCATAATGTAACTGTCAACAATGGGTGGTGAGGTTGCTTGAGGACCCAAATGCAGAGATGAGTTCTGATTGATTTAATTGGGCAACGGAGGCAGACATCCAACATGCAAAAATACAACATATAAAGAACCAAAAACCTTCAGGGAAAAACTTAAGTGGGGAGACAGAGATGAGGAAATAACAACCAAGAACAAGGAACCAGCAGTGAGTGACCGCAGAGGTGGTGTATTTAAGGAGAAGAGAACAAATGATGGACTGATGAGCTGAATAAGGAGCAGGTTTGAATGGAACTAACTAGAAAGAAGCCAATGGGAAAGGAAACAAGCACAAGGGGGCAGCAGAGAGTAACTAAAGTAAACCAAAGAACAAAACAGATAACAAAAAAAAAAAAAACTCAGTCACAAATGGGGAGAACCATAACAGTAACTTTATGCTATACAGACACATCAAGGGTTTGAGGCAGGGAGTCAAAGTGAGGGAGAAACAGGAGCTGACAGAGTAAAAGATTACAGGAGGAAGAGCTGCAGAGTGCAGCAGCACTCCTGCCTGCCAGTCAGTGACTAAGCTGGGGTCCGTTTCATGGAGCTATCTGTAATCTTTGGGCATTGATGGCGTGTCAG